CTACTTCTGTAGTGATACTGCCTCGGAAACCCAAGGAGGGGTCGCTATGAGTCGGGGCCGACTCAACGGCACATAACAACAACAACAACCTAATGTAGAGCAGGGGCCGTGCTCCCCACCTGTAGTTTCTTAGCTGGGAGAGAATCCAAATATTAAGTTATCTCTGCCTTTTCCTTTTTATCTCCTCTTCCCTCTTAAGATAGGATTTGTCATAATTTTTCCCCTCTTCCATTTTCTCTGGAAGAGGGAAAAAAAATTAGTTGTAACCTATTGCCATCAAGTTTATTCCAATTCATAGCAACTCTATAGGACAGAGTAGAACTTCCCTATGTTTCCAAGGCTGTAATCTTTATAGACACAGACTGCCACATCTTTCTCCTGTGGAGCAGCCAGTGGGTTCAAACTAGACCTTTTGTTTACCAGCCGGGTGCTTAAACACTAAGCCACCAGGGCTCCTTCCATGAAGATTACAGTGTAGGAAACCCTATGGGACAGTTCTCCTCTGTCCTATAGGGTCACTATGAGTATGAACTGACTCAATGGCACACAACAACAAGAACTTCCGTATTACCAGCCAGTATTTTTTGGTTTTATTGTTACTGTTAGTTGCCATCCACTGGGCTCTGACTCATGGTGACCCATGAAACACTGCCTGGTTCTGTGTTAATCTCCATGACTCTCGGAGTGTTTGGGTTGATTGTTGTGGTGGTTGTGCGGATCCACATCACTGAAGGTTCCTCCCATTTTTGCTGACCAAACGTGATGTCCTTTTCTAGCAATTACTGTGGTCTTTTTGATCGCACACAGGGTCCCCAGCCCCTCCCTATGCATTTTCCCCAAGGAGGAAGCATGTGAGGGAATCGGCTTCACGGACAATAATACCCTGGAGTTTGGAACCCTGTACGGGGTATCCTGTTCTTCTTCCTCCCTCGGACAAACGTACAGAGGCCCACACGTGGGGGGAGGTGACTGCCCACCTTCAAGGAGGAAGACATCTATCTGGGCCTGGTTGCAGGACATTAGCCCCAAGTTCTATCCCAGAGAGGATTTTCTTAAAACAAAGCTTTCACTAAATGATTTTAATCAAATAAGCACAAAATACATAATTTCAAATTGTGACAAGTGCTATGAAGAAAAGGAACGCAGTGACCCGGGGATTTATAAAAGGGGGTACTAATCTGATCTAGGGGGTCAAAGAAGGCTTCTCTGAGCTCTGAGATATGAGTAGATTGGGAAAGGAAAGAGCACTTAAGGCAGTGTAGCCAAAAGCCACGTGGCGGAAAGAGGCTGGGGCCTCCCTTCAGCAGTGGAAGGCAAAGGATGAAGCTGGCGAAGCAGACGGGACGGCACGCAGAGCCCTGCCGCTGCTTTCCTAAGATACCCCTACAATGGGAAGCCAAGCCTAAGGTGTTTCACGGCTGTTCCTGTTGGCGGTTCAAATCCACCAGCCGCTCCACGGAAGGAAGGTGAGGCAATCTGCTTCCGGACAGATTTACCGCCTTGGAAACGCAATGGGGGTCGCTATGAGCCGGAACTGACTGGATGGCAGTGGGTTATTAAGCAGAGGTGTAGTGACATGAAAAGATTTTCCTTTTGAAAATATCACTGTGTCAGCAGTGAGGCGAGCCGATCCGAGGGGTCCAGTGCCGGTAGACGATACAATCAGACCTGGAAAGCCTCGGTAAAAGCTGCCCAAGACGGAGGAAGATGGCTCTGCGGGCCCCAGCGCGCGGCTCCGCGGAAAACTGAACCGGCCCACGTGGGCTACCGCCCCGCCCCGCCGCGCTGACGCCGACTCCGCAGCCCCGGCCTGAGCTTGACGCGCCACCGCGGACCCCGCAACCCACTGTCCGCGGCCGCGTGCACGCCCAGGCCGGGAGACCTTCCACCCCCATCCCAAGGTGCCCAGTTCCCACCGCCGGGCCGGGGCGAAGCCGGAGGCAGCCGCACCGGTAGGTGCTTCTCGGCCGTGAGTCAGGGCCCAGGGTGGGGGAAGGGTGGGCTCAGCCATTGGCGTAGGGACGTCGCAGCCTCCTCCCAGCTGCCTCCTTTGGGGGAGATTCGGGAAGGATGGTCTCTATCCTGTCTGCAGGGGGTAGCCTCTTTCCAAAGCAAGGTTTAGCAAGAAGGGAGACCGCTGCTCCCGCATCCTTAGAGCATCCCCCTCCAGAGCAGATTGCAGATTAGCTTGGGGAGAGGCCTGCTCCTGGGGTGCCTAGGTTCGCATTTTGCCATCTCTTGAGAACCTGTGATCCTTAGCGTCACTCCCACACCATCTTCCTTCAGAGCCCCGCCCAAGCTTAGGAAGAAGGAAAAGTGAAGGGGGGGAATATCTCCAGCTACCTTTCATAAGCTTTACCTAGAGGAATTTGGGGGGGGGGGCGGTGTGTGTGTGTGCAGGTTACAAAGAGCCTGGCCCTACCCCATTCCCCACCAGGACTTCTGCATAAAAGGGATTTGGGAAGGGTCCTTCCTCATGGTGCCTGCACCACAAATACCATCCCGCACACTCTTACTGATTCTCAAATTTTCTAATCCCTGTAACATATGGTCAGTAGAAACTTCTGGATTCAGACCCTAATTTTGGCATACACAGTTATTGGGGAGGGAAGAGTGGTATGGCCTGCCTCCCTCCTAGGCCTCAGAATGGAACAGGCTAGGCACAGGGACACATGGTAATAGGCATATTCCCAGGACACTAGGAGTGAAGGGGGCAGCTTAGAGGAGACCTTGTCGGTTGGACAGCTCCTTGGGGGCAGAGGAAGGAACTAGATTCAGCTCTTGCCACCCTGAGCAGTCAGCCTAGCCTTCTGCTACCATTGGCTCTGTCTTGCTGGACATGGACATCCCACTACGGGTCCTTCTTCTCAGTTCACTCAGCGAGTATGTACTGACACCTGCTAAGTGCCAGGCTCTGTATTAAGTCCTGGGGATATAACCAGTTGCCATTTGCCATCTAGTTGACTCTGATTCATGGCAACCTTATGTGTGTCAGAGTAGAACTGGCCTCCATAGGGTTTTCAATGGCTGATTTGTTTTGGAAGTACATTGCTAGACCTCTCTTCCAACGTGCACTTCAATCTCTAACCTTTCAGTTAGCAGTTGAGTGCATGAACTGTTTGCACTCTCTGGTGATATAATGGACAGTATATTGAGGAGCCTCCAGTTTGGTACAGGAGCAAGATTTATAATGGACTATAAGGAACTCTAGGAGCTCTGGTAGCGTAGTGCCTAAGGCACTTGACTGCTAACCAGAAGGCTGGCGGTTCAAACCCACCAGCCACTCCTCAGAAAGGAGGTTGAGCAATCTACTTCTGTAGTGATACTGCCTTGGAAACCCAAAGAGGGGTTGCTATGAGTCGGGTCCGACTCGACAGCACATAACAACAACAACATAAGGAACTCTGGTGGTGCAGTGGATAAGACATTTGGCTGCTAACCAGAAGGTCCGTGGTTCAAACCCATCAGCTGCTCTGTGGAAAGAAGATGGGGCAATCTACTTCTGTAAAGATTTCCTGCCTTGGAAACCCAATGGGGGTTGCTATGAGTTAGAATTGACTTGATAGCAATGGGTTTAGTTTTTTTTTTTTTTTTTTTTTTGGGGGGGGGAGCAGTGTTTATTACAAGAAACAGTAGTTTAACACTGCAAAAAGAAACAGTAGTTTTAAAAAAACAGTTGAATAACAAATCAAATTTACATCTTTAACTACAGGCATGCAGACTAGTGAAAAGGTGGTGATAGTAATCAGGTAATAAGTGGCCAGAATCTAGTGAAAGCGAGAGGACATCTATGTACATACACACCCAGAAGGTTTTAAGAGGAGCAATCTGCAAAATTTAGTGGCCAATTAGATGGGGGTAGGAAGGAGAAAGAGATGTGTAGACTGCTCCCAGGGTTCTGGCTGGGGCTCCTAAATGGCTGCTGCTGTTGTTGTTGTTATGTGCCGTCGAGTCGCACCCGACTCATAGAGACCCCTCCTTGGGTTTCCAAGGCAGTGTTACTATGGAAGTAGATTGCCCAACCTTCCTTCCGAGGAGCGGCTGGTGGGTTTGAACTGCCAGCCTTCTGGTTAGCAGTCAAGTGCCTTAGGCACTATGATGGCTAGTGGAGCCATTCTGCTGAGGCCACTGAAAAGGAAGAGCTGGTTTGGATTTGTAGAATTTGAGGAGCTTGGGGGATATCTGGTAGCATAGTGGCTAAGGCACTTGACTGCTAACCAGAAGGCTGGCGGTTCAAACCCACCAGCCACTCCCCGGAAGGAAGATGGGGCAATTTACTTCCATAGTGATACTGCCTCGGAAACCCAAGGAGGGGTCGCTGTGAGTCGGGTCCAACTCGGTGGCACATAACAACAAACAACAACAACAACGGGGGATATCTGGGAGCTCTGGTAGCATAGTGCCTAAGGCACTTGACTGCTAACCAGAAGGCTGGCAGTTCAAACCCACCAGCCACTCTGCCCAAGGAAGACTGGGCAATCTACTTCCATAGAGATACCACCTCAGAAACCCAAGGAGGGGTCGCTATGAGTCAAATCGACTTGATGACAGTGAGTTTGGTTGTTTATTGCGGGGGATATCTAGGTTGCAGAGTTGGTTAACAGTGGGATCTGGGGTGGAGATAGATTTGGAAGTCATCAACATACAGATGGTTCTTGAAGCTACAGCAGAGGATGAGGTCATCTGGGGAGTGTGCATAAAATGAGAATAGACGACTACCTGCCTCAGAGGGCTGAGGACACCAGCATTTAAGGGAAGGACAGAGGAAAAACCCTATGCAGGAGACTGAGAACAAACAGAGTGGAAGAAAACCACAAAAGACCATGTTACCAGAGTCCAGGGAAAGGGACTGAGAGGGAGCAACCAGGCTCTTGCCCCTGCAGCTAGGTTGGCACGACTTCAGGTGCCCCACCCTGTCCTCCTGTGACTCATTTTTCTGTTTCCCCCCTTACAGCCCAGATGTTTGCCATCCAGCCAGTGCTAGCTGATGGGGGCCATTTCCTGGGGGGCCCACCTCCTGGGATATGCCCGCCTGAACTCCAACCAGACAGCAACTCCAACTTCATGGCAAGTGCTAAGGATGCCAATGAGAACTGGCATGGGATCCCAGGCAAAGTGGAACCCATTCTGATGGGCAGTTCCCCTGAGACGCCCTCTGACAACCAGGCTTTCCAGGTCCCTGGATTCCCTGAGGAGGAGATTCGCAGTCCCCCAGAAGGTGCAGAGATTCCCAGGGCTGAGCCTGAGATGAATGGTGTCAGCACAGCCTGCTCCCCGCTGGAGGACATCGGCTATGCCAGCAGCTCTCTAAGCATTGACAGTCCTAGCAGCAACCCTGAGTCTGTCTGTGAGACCCCTGGAGGCCATGACCCTCCAGATCCCCTTCTCCCCTCAGTGGCCCAGGCAGTGCAACAACTGGAGGCTCAGGAGCGCTACAAAGAGCAGGAAAAGGAGAAGCACCATGTACACTTGGTGATGTACCGCCGCCTGGCCCTGCTCCAGTGGATACGGGGCCTGCAGCACCAGTTGGTTGATCAGCAGGCCCGCCTGCAGGAGAGCTTTGATACTATCTTAGATAACCGAAAGGAGCTTATCCGCTGTCTCCAGCAGAGGGCAGCACCATCCCAGGACCAGCACTAAGAGTGTGCCCCAACAGGTGTGCAAGAATATAGGTGTATATTTGAAGACGTGTGTGGTTGTACACATGTAAGTACATGACTATTTGCTGGTGTGAATGCAGGTGAACATAAGTGAGTATGTGTGTGCTAGCAGGTATGCAGATATGTACAGGCATGTATGAATACCATATTTTTCACATATACCCACGTAATTGATGCACACATGCACAGGAAACTAACACATGAAGGGGTGGCTGGTTTGCAAAAACCATATAATATGCGCATTAGTTTGCATAAAATTATGGTAAGCACCTGTGAACTCAAGTGTGCTGTATGTACACATGTACACACAAGCTAACTTATATGCAGACCTATGTGTCAGTGTGTAAGAGTGAACATACATGTGACTTTGTGTATGCACATGTGTGTATATGAGTGAGTTAAAATATGTAGGCTTGTGTTTGCTGTACATGAGTGAGCCCTTGTGTGTGCAGGCCTATGTGTAGGGATACATGTGGAGAATGTACTAAGAGCATGTGTATCTGTAGGCAGACTCATGAATAGGTGTGTGCACATACATATTCAATTGCACTTGTGGGGCATCCATCTATACCTTGTGTTACCCATGGCTCACCCAGCCTTTTTTCTCCAGAGTCCCACTCTCCCCCTGAAGAGAGCCAGGCCAGCCTACTATCATCTATCTAAGGGGTTGGGCTGATCCATTCTCCTAGGATTTCCCAGGCCACCTCTCCTCTCTCTGTTCTCCTCACCCATCCCAGACCTTGCTCTGCTAAGACTGTCATCCCTAATGGTGTGTTTCATGGTTGCCAACGCCAACCACAGCAGTTTGGCTGCGATTTTGTCAGGGCACTTTGTGGAAAATTGGTATCAGGGAGGGGAACTGAGGGTAGTGATGGAGTCCATGTTAGGGGGAGGGGATCAGAGAAGGAGATAGAAGATTGTCCTTCTGGAAGTCTGCCTTTGGGCACATGGGAGATGGGAGAGATGCCAGTGGCAGATCCTGTGAAGACAGGAGATTAGAATTCGAAAATACCAATTCTCAAACAAAGCAGACCTTTCTACTGCAAAGGGAACTATTGAAAACCATATTGAATTAAGCTTCTGAAGAAAAGGAATGTATGTTTATAAACTTGCAAGTGATGTACCAAGTGTCCCAAGGGTATTGGAAAAATATTTCTCTTCCTTCTCTGTGCCTTTTCCTCACTGTGCCTGTCTGGCTTTAGCAACGTTGGATATCGAATTGAGTTAGCCCCTTTGCTCTGAAATTAGACTGTCTGGGCCAGGAGGAGCTAGACTTGGGCTTTCTGGGGTCAGCCTGGCCTCTGGGAGCTCTTAGGATGCTTCCATTACTGCCTGCATGGCCTCCTTCCATCACCACATGGCCCTTTAAGCAGGAGGTGAGAGACTCCAAGAGAGGCTCTGTGAGATGGAATGTAAGTGAGTCCTGGGAGCAGCCAAGGACTAAGGTAGGCAAGCTCTCTGTTTTACTTCTGGGAACCAAGAGGATGCAAGATCCTGATAGATGATCAGAAGTGGGCCTAAAGAAGAAACACTGATGGGTGAACAGTGACATGGAAGGCACTGCTGTTGCTTCTGGCCCTCAGTTTCCTTGTCTGCAAAATGAGGGACTCTTTCTGTCTGTCTCTTAAGGATTTCTATCCCTGACAGGTGGCTGAAAGGTACAGGGAGTAGGAGTGAAACCTGGGCCCAGGGGACTTTGTGTCTTAAGCTTTTACATGTTGAGTGTGAATCTGGCCTGTTGACCAAAGCAGGACAAATAAACGGAGACAGAGAAATTAATTTCTTGAGTATGTGTGTCTTACTCTACTCGTGGTCTGATGGCCTCTTTTCCATCTTACCATCCGAGGTCTCCTTTTGAGCAAAATCCTGGTTGAGGAGCTGGAGGGTGCGGATTGAGGATAGAGTTGGCCTTTGCCCTGAGAGCCCCATAAGGATGGAGAAATCTGGTAGGCACTCTGGAAGCGTTCCTGACCAAACAAGGAATGTCCTTGTCTTAAGGTACTTTTGGGCCTAAGGGGACAGCATGGATTGTGAGGGACACATCACACACACATACACTCAACCTTGCCCTGGAGTCACCACTTCCCTGAAGGTGCCTTGACTGCAAAAGACTGAGTTTGGGTCCTTAGATGGTTTAACACAGATGTAGTGGTGTAGTGCCTAAAGCATTTGACTGGTAACCAGAAGGCTGGTGGTTCAAACCCACCAGCCACTCCTTGGAAGATAAGGCGATCAACTTCCATAGAGATACCACCTCAGAAACCCAAGGAGGGGTTGCTGAGTTGGATTCAACTTGATGGCAGTGAGTTTGTTTTTTCTTTTTTCTTTTTTTGTAGTTAGAATACATGTACATGCCTTCAGACATTTATTGTTGTCAATCTAGATTATATCTTCTATTTTATACTAGTTTTTATGATGATTTACTAGTTTCACAACTATTTTTGTAAAGAAGGTATATTATCTATTGCTATGTAACACATTACCCTAAAACTCAACAGCTTAATACCGTACACATTATCTGTGGGCCAGGAATCTGGGCCAGCTTAGCTGGGTCCTCTGCTTCACAGCCTCACAAGGCTGCAGGTAAAAGGGTCAGCGTGGGGTCTGTGGTCTCACTGGTTGATTGCTTCCGTTTCTCATGGCCAGAGGTCACCCTCAGTTCCTTAGTCAGTGGGCCTTTCCAGCTGGGCAACTAAGCACGCAGGCTGCACTAGTTTCCTAGGGCTGCCCTAACAAAGTACCCCAGAGTGGGTGGCTTATATGAATTGGTATATATTATCTCAGTTCTAGAGGTGGTTGTTATGTGCTGTGGAGTCGGACTGACTCATAGTGACCTCTCCTTGGGTTTCCAAGGCAGTATCACAAGGAGTAGTTTGAACCACCAGCCTTCTGGTTAACAGTCAAGTGCCGTAGGCACTATGCTACCAGAGCTCCTAGAGGTTAGGAGTCCAAATTTGGGGCTTCAGCAAGGCCAAGCTCTCAGCTCTAGGGGAAGTTCCTTTCTAGTCTTTCAGCTTCTGGTAGCCCCAGGCATTCCTTGGAATTCCTTACCTTGTAAAATGCATCTTCATATGATTCTTTCCTCTGGGTGTCTCCATGTCTTATAAGGACACCACAACTGGATTGGGTTAGGACCCATCCTACTCCAGTATGACCTCATGTTGATAACATCTTCAAATACCCCATTTCCAAACAAGGTCAAGTTCATTGGAACCAGCGATTAGAACTTCAATATATCATCTTTTTTGGGGGAACATAATTCAATCCATAACACAAGCCAAGAAGGCAACAGTCTGCTAGCAAGATAGAAGTTATGATGTTATGCAACTTAATCATAGAAGTTACCTACCTTGAGACTCTCATACACTGCTGGTGGGACTGTAAAATGGTACAACCATTGTGGAAAGCAGTATGGCGATTCCTTCATAAGTTGGAATTAGAAATACCATTTGACCCAGCCATCCCATTACTAGGTATATACCCTAAAGAAGTGAGAGCCATGACAAAAACAGATATATGCACACCCATGTTCATCGCAGCATTATTTACAATAGCCAAAACATGGAAACAACCTAGATGTCCATCAACTGAGGAATGGATAACCAAACTATGGTACATACACACAATGGAATACTATGCAACGCTAAAGAATAATGTAGAATCTGCAAAACACTGCATAACGTGGATGAACTTGGAGGACATTATGCTGAGTGAAATAAGTCAATCACAAAAAGGACAAATATTGTATTAGTCCGTTATTGTAAACGTTAAGGAAAGGTTTATCTATTGGAGGAAATTTTCTTTGTTGGTTACCAGGGGTGGGAGGGGAGGGGAGGGAACACTGTTAGATAGATAGAGATAGATATTGATTTGGGTGAAGAGAAAGGCAACGTACCAAATGTGAGTGACCAATATGGCAGCATTGAGCATGAGAAAGACATAGGTACATGGGAAGTACACACAACAAATATGAACCCTTTTGCATATACAGTACTGAGTTCTCAGTGAAGGCAAACATGGGTATAGGGATGGATAGATAGGTGGACAGGCTAAATGATTAGGTATGTCTATGAAATGGGGAGTGTATCCAAGATCATATATAGGGTTGGCAGACAATGGTCCTATAAGTTTATGTGAATGATCAGAATCCCCAGGTGTATAGTAGAGCTGACAAGGGGCAAGGTTGTGGTCACTGCTTGGTCACAGCCAGCTACCCAGAGTGACCGAGTAGTTGATCCTGCGGGCTTGGGACCATAGTCGCAGGGGACATCAAGCTCAATTGGCATAACATACTATACAAAACATTGTTCCACCTCCTACTTTGGTGAGTAGCGACTGGGATCTTAAAAGCTAGCAAGCTGCCATCTAGATGCAACGATGGGTCTCTCCTCGTCCAGAGCAAAGAAGAAAGAAGAAAACCAAAATTAATGGAAACAATCAGTCCTCGCGACTGGTACACCATCCGATCTGCAACCTATACAACTATGAGACCAGAAGAACTAGATGGTGCCCGGCTACCACTGTCATCCACTTGGAAGGAATGTAGGAGATCCTGGATAGAGAGGGAGAACAATGTGGAACAAAACTCAAAATCATTTGGAGGGAAAAAAAAAAAGGATGGTTGGGACTAGGTTTGCTGGTCCAATAATAGAGCCTGGTGGAACCACTGAGACTATGGCCCCTAGCTGCCCTTCAGGTCTGGAATTGAACCCACACCTGTGGTTTCCAGCCAAACAAAGTACAGGCATGTGAGTTAAACATTTACCTCAAGTAGGTACACGCCCTGGAGAGACCAATCATGGAAGAAGGAAGGGCTGCTTATGCACAGGGAGACAGCTCAGGGGGCAGGAGAGTATGGAGGGATGGACACTGGGAAGTGGTAACTATGGGAAGGAAGTGGGAGGGGAGCTGTTGCATTGTGGTAAACTGTGGTCAATGACATGAGACAAAGTATATGTGAACTGCTGTATGGAAAGTGAA